CATAGATCTGTTACAATTGCTCTATTTGGTAACAAGACTGTTTCATGGAATAGCCTATATGTTGCAAACTAATGCAAACCTCTAAAGGAAAATGTATATAAAGAAATATGAAGGTAAACAAATAAGGCAGAAAAACTCCTCTCAGAAACTATACATTTATTTTTTTTTAAAGTCCTGACATGCTATTTGTAGTATTTCAACATCTAAATTTTTGATAGACAGCCTGTACAAAAGGAACGCAATCTAGAATTAAACACACAGGTTCCCTGTAGCTAGAGTGAGACACTCTTCAAAAATAATGCAGCAGAATGTTTTTCTTTCCTAAATTTGACATTAACTGGAGTGGTAGACACTCGGGAGAAGCCAGAAAACATAGCCTCCCAGAGCGCAAGCTTAAGTGTTTTCTGCCAGCTGATGAACAGCATCTTACCTTAGTAAAGAAGTAGCTTCGTGTGGTGAGGGAAGTTGTAAGTCAGCAGGAACAAGGAGCGGCACATGCCCACTTGAAGATACAGCCGCTTCTAAAACAACAGCTGCAAACTATTCACACTCTGCCCATCTCTGTGTGCCTTTACCACCTGTGGGGAAAGGTGGGCACCTGAAAAGGCAGAAACAAAACCACAAATGCTAATTAAGGAACTCTCTAGAATAACTTCATATTAACTATTTTTTGTAGTTCAAAATTAACTATCACAACATAAAAGAGAATTCTGAACTTTCCAGTCCTTCGCTACCGGAGTCAAAAGTTGTCCAGCCCAGACCCAGCACTTGTCACTTTCTGAGAACTGATCCTAAGCTTGGCATGAGCAGTGCAACATTTTGCAACTCACATACGTAGCAAAGCATTTCTAGTTCTGGAAAGACATAAGAGAATCTTCACGTTTTGCAGTCTCAGGAATTTTAGGCCCACTGTTCCCAATTCTTCAGCTTAACTTTCCAACAAGTTACCATGTTTTTAGCTCACTGTTATCTACACTCCTTCATTCATGAACTGCCAATTCACCTTTAAAGTTCAACAATTCACTTTCAAAAATGTTACCTGTTCATCACACAACTGCATAGAACTAAAGGAATGAGAGACTCTGAGGAACAAAGTGCTTATTACAGACAGGTGCTGGCTATTTTCTTTTTGCCTTGCTGAGTGTCATTTTTTAAAAAAAGTTTTGTGGAACAGCTGAATGCGATTTCATTTAAAAAGCTGTTATACTCCTTTGTGTGTGAAGTTAGGCATTAAAGCCTTGTCTTTTGGCTACAGCTGTAAACTCTGCAACTACATACAAAATTAAAAATAAACCCATCCGTTAACACAAGAGGATAATACAAGATAAACTTGACAGCGACTGCAGGGGTAGAAGGGAAGAGAAGAAGAGTGAATACAGAAAAGGTGCAGAATAGAACTCGAAGCAAGAAAACTTTTTAGAAGAGCTCAGGCAACAAAGTTTTCTTGAACTTATTTTAGTCAGGGCAATACCGACCACCTGCAGGAAGGCTCAGACAGGTGCATGAAGACGTAACGCAGAACGACTGTTGACAGGAGTTAAGCAAGGAAGAAAAAGGAGAGAGAGAGGTATTTTTAAGCCCGGCCGGTGCTCTAGAGGCTCGCACCCCGCCAGGCCGGGAGGGGGCGGCGCGGGAGGCAACCAGCCGAGGCAGCACCTGGGGGAGGCCGGAGCCCTCCTGGCAGCAGCTCCCCCAGAACATCACCTCACGGATTTATCTACGGAGGGAAGCGAGACCGGAGACCGAGGCCCGGGCTCTCCCCTCAAGGGCCTCCCGGCTGAGGATCCCAGCCAGACGGCGGCAGGGCTACCGCCGCAGTCGCGCCGTACCTCCTTCCCTGCGCC